TGCTGATTAGGAATGAACCCGTCGACGTTCTAGCTTCCTTCCTTCCTTCTTTCCTCCTCCTCCTCTTCTTTTTCTTCATGTAAGTTAGCTCACATATGTTCCCTATTCCTTTTCAAGGGAGGAAAACAAACAAGAAAGAGGATTTCCTAATTAAGATCAAATAAGCCTTGCTGGGCAATTCCCACTTTCTATTTATTCCTGTAAGCTGCCAGAAAATAGATGAAACTATCTGCCTTTGTTTTTATTAAAAGTTTTTTTTTATCATTTGTGGGTAAGGCTGGGGCTTGTAAGCCCCTGAAATGTCTGCCTTTTGCAGAGCCCACATTTAGCAACCAAAACTTCTATTTAAGCTGGGGCAAAGAGAGGATAGAAAAATTCCCCTGTGGTGCTTCAATGAACAAGAGGCGGTAGATGTTTTGAAACCTCACACCACCTCACAAGTACTCTTTGCATAATGTCTGAGTCCCAGCAGTGGGTAGATTAGGAAGTCTACAAGTATGTATTTCTCAGGGAAATTCCAGAAGACTTTCACCATCTGCTTTCTTAATCAAAGCCAATGTAGCACGTAGTCTACGTTCAGCTCAGGTATTAACCATCTGTGCCTGCTACGTTTCTACAAACCACTTTCTGGTTTCTGTCTATTACAAAGAATTGATTCCCGCACCTATAAATTGTTATTGAATCTTAAAAGTCAAGGGACCTTGACATATATGTAGAGCAAACCCTGCTGGATACTGGAATGCCAAGGGCAAGTTGGGTCAACTGTAATTTGTCCAGCATATGCTTGAAAAATGAGAGCAAGGGAGTATCATCACTTAATCATGTCAGTGATCGGCTTCATTATCAAATTATTATTACTGTCAAGTAGCTTTCTTTCAAGGATCAACTGAAATCTATGTCCTCTTGCTTAAACCTCAGTGCTAGGGTTGTGGTTAGGTTGTTTTATAGGTTACTGTTTTTAAATCTTATTGCTGCTATGGAGGGGAATATAAGTCATTCAGAGGCCTCTTACCTTGGAACAGCATATAAATCTTAATAAAAAATTAGTTAGGAAATACCTTAAGACAACTCTTCTCAATTTCATTTCCTGCAGGTCTACAAAACCGATCAGGAATTGTAATAGATGTAGCCAACAATTTGAAGGAGATTTGTTCACAAGTAGATTCTCAGACATCTGATGAGAAGTGTAAACTCATACACCTCTGTCCAAAGACATGGATTATGTCTTTTTATAAAATCTTATAAAAAGATGATCAGCCTATTTGCAGTCAGAATGATTTGTGCAGTGCAGAGTCATACGTTAAGGCCAGGTTGTTGGCATGCAGAACAAACAAACAAACCACATTGGCAAGTAACACAACCAGTATATGCATGTAATTTTCCATTTCAATGTAGCTGGGCTACCCAGACTTTCTTAATCTTATGTCCTGAGATGTGCTGGGCCAATTCCCATAATACCCAGCCAGTATTACTGGGCTAATCATAGTGTGTGCCATCTCAAGGAATTTTGGAGTCTAAAGCTTTGTTTTATTTTGTTTTATTTATTTTGCTTCATTCTTTTGAAATAACATATTGGTTTCATTATTTTAAGAAACTTTGGTTATTAGGCAAATGTAGGTTACATTAACATGCCTGTTTGCATGTAATGACATGAATTCAGATCAAATTAATTGGCACTCTTATCAATGAAATATAAGTTTTTCACACTGATTTCTGTAAGTCCTAGTTTAATTCAAAAAATGCTGATTAAATTGCTAGTTCAAACAGGAGAAAACATTGAAAATAAAGGGTGTACTTGAAAAAATAATGAATGCTGTATTAGAGCCAACTTATATGATTCTGTCCAAAATTTTCAGAATTCTGTCCCTCAATAACTTGGGATGGTTTCAGGAGTAAAAGTCCACTTCCCTGTGATTTTCCCAAGGGTTCTGCTTTAATTTTTCCCATGTTTGAGAATGTTTTATGTGTTTCTGAAGAAAAAATAGCATTTGAAGACAAAATCTATCTCCATCCTGTGCACAAAACAGTTTTCACTATTTTTCTCCATTTGTAACTTAAAGCAACTCCATAACATCACCAACCGCTGATCAAATGACAGACAATCTAACCTCGTTACCACTATTTTGGGCACAAAAATAATTGAATGGCTATAGAAGGTGCTGTAAATTGCTAGTGGGGAAGTAATCACTGGCACCAATTCCACTGGGGTAAAGGTTAAGTGGAAGGTGTTTTTGTGTGCAGTAGATTCTTGGAAATGATCTCCAGGCCACTCCACAAATGAGGCAAGCCAGGCCAATGTATGCGATCTGAGCCAGAGATATGAAATACTGCATTTGAGAACTTCGAAAATTTTGTCCCCTAATAAATAGTTTTTCTTTTTCAAGAAAAGAATTGTTTTAAACTTCCCTATATTTTTCAGAGTTTAATATTCTGCTGTTTGTATTGTTTTCCAAGAACTGGGCTACTGTTTCACTTTTTGTTTTGCACAAAAACTGTATGAAAAATAGAATGATTGCAGAGAAATGTGAATTGAGATCATGAAACAGACAGTTCTGTGGAAGAGCCCCCCCCCATTTGCCAAACAGAAACTGTTCCTCCATTGAATTGTTGAGGCAGAAGTTTTTGTAAACCACTCAATCTTCCTCAATGCCATAACTCAAGAATTAGAGCATACATAACATGGAAATCCTCAGTTATGGTAACACTTCTCCCTTTCGCTCTCTGAAGATGGCAAATTGTTTCAGGAAAAACAGAAGATCATATGCATCATTTCATAACAGAAAGGCAGATTCCACAAGCGTGCCTGGCAGTTATTCAAGTGATGACAACTTGGAGGTGGACAAAGAGCTAGAATGCATAAGAAAAATCAAGAAATATATACTAGGCCATATTAATTATGGATTCATGGAAATCATGCTCAAGTTGCAAAGGTTCATGAGAAAGTATTGTGATGGAAGGGACAATGGAGGAGCAGTGGGGGAAAGTTTTGGCAACACAGAGCTTCCCCAGAGAGAAGCCTATAGAGCAGCGGTTCTCAGCCTATGGGTTGTGACCCCATTTGGGGTCAAACAACCATTTCATAGGGGTTGCCAAGCAAGGCTGTCCGCCAATTTTTTCCCTTTTTCCGGCGGGTGCCTTACCTCCCTTGGGCTAGGCCAGCTGGTGGCCCAGCTGGTGGCCCAGCCAGTGGTCAGCCTGCTCCATCTCTGCCGCTTGCCAGCTACGCCTCGGCCAGTGCAGGGGGCAGCACCATGCATGCACGGCACTCCTGGACAGGGAAAGTCCTCAACTTACGACCGGTTGGGTAGTCCTCGACTTACGACCGGTTTAGTCCTCGACTTACGACCAGTTGGGGGGTCGCAGCATTAAAAAGGTTGAGAACCACTGCTATAGAGTAAGAGACTGTGTTGTCCCAAGCTAGATGGGGAAGAAGTTTAGGGTAGCCACATCCTAGAAAGGGCAACCAGGATAGATCTATTAGGTTAGAAGGGTAAAGCTTAAATTTGACAAAATTCTACCCATTAGTGTAAGCAAATAAAAGATTGAACTCGATTGGATTTTGAAGTATTGGTTCTGGGCTTGGGCTATTTAGGTTAATTTCATATACATCTTAACAATTTTACAAGAAAATGTTCTGTACTGAAGTATCTTTTGTTTGCAGAGATGTATAATCTTGTATTCTTTCTTTCACATTTATTTTTAAGAAGTGTTTCTAGCAATTGTTAAGGAACTAGTTTAATCCCTTCCATGAATGGGATAGATTTTGTCAATCGGATGCAAACTAGATTTCTTCCATTTGTTCTGAAAAGCAGCAGAATAGGGACACACCCTATACCAGAGTTGGGCAGGGGTCAACACTAATATTAAATTTCATCCATTAATTTAAAAAGTATGCATTCCAGAACAAATTTCTAGAACTTCTATCCATTCTTAAGAATAAAGCAATCCTCTGCCCCTTTAGATCAGGATTCCTGGCAGTTATAGATGAGTTTATAGCCAAAAACAATAGTAATGAGAACTAAGTGCCAATGCCCAGCTTCCCCTTTCTCTCTCACCTCATAATACTTGGATACATTTTAATTAATTTCTCTAATACTACTGTTCTGACAAACTGTACCAAAATTATGTAGTTGTATTTCTACAATATGCGTGTGCTCTTCTGGATATCATGAGATTCCATACCGTACAACACATATACGAAAAGAGAAAGTCAAAGAACATGAGACAGACCCAGAAGAAGATGGAGAGACAACATCAATTAACAATGGTTGAGGCTGCCAAAAGAACAAGAATCAGAACTTTGTATCTCCCTCGACACACGCAGTGGTAAAAAGGGAAGAGGAAGAGGAGGAGGAGGAGGAGGAGGAGGAGAAGACTTCTACAATATGACTAGTTGCATTACTGCAGAATACAAGAACTGTAGTTTTTTCTGCACCAGATATATTTTTATAGATTTCAAGCTTCTCAAAGCCTGCCTTTCTTTGAGGAGACAGTATTGGAAATGTGTGTTGTTTCTAAATATCTGATTATTTCCACACATAGAGATGGCTTGTGAAGGAAACAAATAGATGAAATTTTCTGGAGAAAAAAACATCATCCTCGGAGCCCCCATTTCAATCTTCTTGGCTTCTCCCTGTCCAGAGCAGACCTAGCAGATCAGTTCTCCATCTCCTTTGTTCCCTACTGGTGGGCGTGAGTTGGCCACATAAATGGCTGAGGTGAACTGCTGTCTTGATCACTCATTAGAGCCTATAGTTAAATTTGGAAAGAAGATTGCTATTACCAGGATACCATGGAAACAAACCTCTCTGCTAATGGTAGACACTCCCTCTTTCTCCATAATTTGGGAGGGTAGTGAATGGGGAACTGTGAAAAAAGGCATGGGGGGGGGAAACAATCTGGGTGGGGGAATAATGTAGCAAGTAAAGTGTGTGTGTGTGTGTGTGTTACATTTCTTTGCAAGTCTGTACAAAAGACACCAGAGAGCTGTTCCATATTTCCTAGTGACTTAAAATTTATGTAAACAGTTTTTATTTAGAACTGAAAAGCACCACTGATAGCAATACATGGGCTTAATGAATGCTTCTTGGAAAAATAAAAATAATTTTTCTTTTTTATCTATTTATTTGCTAAAATTCATCTTGCATATGGGACAAATTTGATTTAAAATACATTGAAAGTCTGAAAAGGATACTGTGGCTTTTGTTGGTTAAATCAGTAAGAAGTTACTGATATCAAACTTAGGATATTTATTAAAGGAGGCAATGGGGAGAAAATTCTCAAATGCTGTTGATAACCTGGATATTTCAATAGAATTAAAGAAGTGTATACATTTCATACATCTCAATGCTGGGAGCCTTTTCAGGACACAAGAACAAGGATTCTATGCTATTGTTGGAAGTAACATTTTCCGTATTACAGGCTAAATGGCAGATTTTCTAGTATAGATGGTACAAAAATTATACATACAAATACAGCTTATTGTATATGATGCCAAATATATTCTGTCTAGAAAGCATGAAGGAAAAAGCAGCCAGCTAAAGATCTATGTGTAAATGTGCAAGGTGACTCAATCTTAGAATTTGTTTCAAGCAAATTCTACTGCTTCTTGTGCAGTCTTTATTATGCTCTTTCTAGATTCTTTTTTTATCCCTTTATTATTTTTTATAAACAACCTAAGGTAAAATACATACCCAAATACTCTTTCCTCCTCCTATTTTCCCTACAACAACCCTATAAAGTGAGTTGGGCTAAAAGTGAGTGACTGGCCTCAGGTAACCCAGCTAGATTTTGTGCCTAGAATTCCTGATCTCTTGGTTTCTAGCCTGGTGCCTTAACTAATAGACCAAATTGGCTTACTTAATATTTAACGAAACTTTGATATTTCAGTACAGCACTACAGTCATCCAAAATGTATTAAAAAAATGACCTTTTGGATTTCCAAAAGATTTGTACTATTCATTTTAGGCCATTTCATTTATATGCTTTCTTCATTATTTCTTTTCCTCTGATTGCATCACCACTTTCCTTTATTTTTCCATGGCCCGTGTTGATTCTACATCTACCATAAGAACTTCTCATTTTCTCTTTTTTCTGCCTGGGCACAAATATTCAAATTTTCCAATAGATGAAAGAAATAGTAGCAAAGGCATTCCTCCCTAATAGACTGGTATTAACAGAAAGGAGATATTGTGGGCCAAGACAGCAGTAATAGATCAATTTTGGGGGGAACGTTATTAAAATCTGAGAGAAAAACAACAAGTTTCAAAGGAAGGTGAAATTCTGTCAGTTTGAACATATCTAGCAGCTCAGTGAAGCACAGAGAGTAGAGAAATGTACTTTGTGACATCTCCAGGTGGGTTTAGAAAAGATTATTTTGTTAAGCAGTGGACTGTTGCAGCCATTACTTTACTTTACATTACTCAGTAAACAATACTGAGTTAGATAAATCAGTGCAGATGACTGTGGACCTTTATAATGTTTCATTTAACCTGATAAAGTATATTCTCAGACTTCCAAACAAAACCAAGTTTTGGGGATTTGAGATAATCAGACCAGAGCATCAAGGGACAACTGGAAAGTACACGCTAATAGTCCTTCTATATGTGATCTAAATTAAATTTCACATCTGGATTAATTTGAATCTGCAAAAGACTACAAAACAGAAGAGAAAAAAAGATTCTTATCTGCTAACAATACATGATCAGCTATGTGGCTTTTCAAGCCAGTTTAATGAGATTAAGGCTATGTTTTACTTTCCCTTTTTCCTTATATTAAAAAAAAATAGGTTCCATAGTATTCACGTCAGTACAGAATGAACTATTTAAATTCTTTTATTTTTAAATACTTGCTATTGCTCTGTCTTACTTTTGATGCCCTAAGCAACATTTTTTAAAAATAATTCCTATTTTGCAAGGTAAGTTGAGTTTGGAGTCTTGAATAGAAGAAAATAACAGTTTGGAACACAAAGTACACTATTATGAAAAGTTGTGGAAAAGAAAAACATTGCATATTCTTTGAATTACGGCAGCAGGAATTTGCTATGTTGAAGCCAAGCTGTATATCATCTTTCAAAAATTCATTATGTGGAATTCTCTTTTCTAACCATCCATTGAAATTGCCACATATCAATATACTTCTGGTCCATTCAGGAGGCTTATTTATTTTCCATTAAAATTGCACATCTATTGTTCCATTAAATCGGAAGGAGGAGGGATGAGATCTCTTGGGTTCAGCTGGGCAACAAGGCAGACATCGTAGCTGTCGTGCATGAGGGCATTGACTGCAACAACATTCCAATGATTTTCCCAAGTATCCAGCTCTAGGATCTCTTTGGTGATAACTTCATGCCGAGCTGAAATAAAAAAAGAATAAGGTAGGCGTATAAATCAGATGAGTTCAGATACAAATCGAGCCAAGGAATCCAGAAACTAGGTTCTGTCTGTAAACAACATTTCAAAAATAATTTGGTACTGTACTTAGATGAAAAAGAGAGAGATAGCTATGGTTGAAACCCAATGCCATGCCTCTCCTGGAGTATTTTTCTTTGGAAGAAGGCGTCATCCAAGGCGGACATGACTCCTGGCTTGATATTCCAAAATATACAGCTATGTAGTTTGTTGAGAAATTCTATTTTGTGTTGATTCCATGGGCCATTTCCCTCCACTGTCCCCCCACCTGGCAACACAAAATAATGTGCTCATAATATTTGTTATCTGATGGCCAATCCCTATCCTTCCTGTAGTGCATCTATTTTGAGTCACTGCCAAATAGGGGCATTGTCTTGTTCTGGGAGCACAGTACTTGTATCAGCCTAGATGTGTTTCTTTGCTAGATTTACATCCTGCCTTTTCATCAGGAGCTCAATCAATGTAATAGAATTCCTTGCTCACTTTTTGCCCAGAATTACAACTTTGTCAGGCAGATTGAGCTGAAGAAGAACAATTGGTCCAAAATTACACAGGAGGTTTTCATGGCTGAGGATGGATTCCTTAACTACCCCTAGGTTTCCATTTGGTTTTGCTGCCCTTCCCCTTCAGCAGATCACCAACCAGCATGAAAAACACTCGCCAATTTGGACATCACAATAGGAATAGGATAGTTTTATTAAACTGGTTTATTTTCCTTTCTTCTGATTCCCAGCTTGGATATGGCACATGTTAAAATAATGTAAAATAAATATATCCATGGGGAAATATCCAGAAAGTAATAGCCTCTCTCAGAGAAGAAAGAGATGGGCTCTGACATGACTGTGTAACTAAATCAGTCCTATAGACCCAGCAACTGAACTCTGACAAGCTGCTGGGCAATCATGTTCACTTAAATCTGCAAGTAATAAACAACAGCGTAATTCAATATTTCTCATTATTTTCTGACCATTGCTATGAGGAAAAGCAGGAGTGCTGCATCTTATGGTAAAGGTAACTTTTTTCAAAAATATTGTAAAAGTGGATTAGCACAAAGGCATGACTTCTTCCCAGTGGGAAGTCTATTTTCCTCCCTGTATGTTGTTGAAAAGATGTAGTAAAAAAACAGATGACAGATATGAAAGCACTTTCAAGAAACAAAGTGCTCAGAGAGGACAAAAGCTGGGAAGGAAATGGATACAGTGGAGGCTGGCTAGTAATTCGGTGGAGGGCCATGTCCAATTTCCCCAGCACTTCCAAAATATGTATACTCTGATCACATCCGCTGATAGTTACCTGACTTCACCTCTGAGGTTATGGATGGAAAATTACTTAAACTTGGGATGGTATCAGAACAAGTGAGAAAATACTATTACACCTTACAGCTCCTGAAGACATAGCCTCACTTTACTCACGGACAGGATATGAGACAAGGGCAACATAATCAGGTCACGGGGGAAATTTTGTGTTATTAAAGCATGATTTTTTTTATTTATTTAGTTATGTTTGTTAAATTTATATCCTCCCATTCCTCCAGGAGCTCATAATGGCCTACATAACAGTCACACTTTTCACTTATGGTCCCCACAATTCTTTGATACAATTGTACTAAGAGACATCAATTGTCCGAGTGAACCTCCACAGCTAAGGGATGATTTCAACATGGATCTCCCTAGTTCTGCCCTAGAACTTTCACTGGTGGATGACATTTCCCTACAAATGATGGCTAAGTCAAGGGTGGGAAGAGCTTTAGGAGTGCTGAGCAGTGCTCTGTTAGTCATATTAAAGCAACCAAAAGTGCATAACCTGGAAAGAAGAAATTTAATTAAAAGACTTTTAGACTTTTAAAGCAAATCTTTGCATCTTTGTTTTTATGCATAACACTTCCCAACATGGCCAGAAAGTTATAAAAACAGAGGAGGACAATACAGAACACAATTAATTTGAATGACCTAGTTACTTAGAGCATTTGGAAAGCTAACTGACAAAAGATAGCAAATCAATAGAAAGAGTTAATATGGAAAAGACAATTCGAAACCAAGTTGCAGTTCTGTAACAACAAATCTTTGCATCTGTCATCCAAATGGATGTCTTCACTTTCATGCTCACTTATAAATATTCTTTCAAGTTAAGTCATCTAACATTACTCATATGTACAGTAATGAAACAAATATGATGCTGTATTTACTACATGTAAAATTCTTGAGTTCCCTAACTACACCACAAGAAGAATCTAGTTCATATTTCTCAAGAAAGGTCCCCTCTGAATGTGGTTGTCTTGTCTTGTTGGTTATATTCTTGTATCTTTTCAGCTGTTTTTACATAGTAGGTTGTTCAGCTGTAATCAACTGTAATTAAATTGTTTCTTATAGGACAGTGGTGGTGAACCTATGGCACGGGTGCCAGAGGCGGCACTCAGAGTCCTGTCTGTGGGCACGCACGCCGTTGCCCCAGTCCTAGGCCTTCAGCTGGGTTTTATAAAGCCTTTTTGCTTTAGGCCTCCGCCGCCGTGTGCAAAAAAAAAAAAAAAGGTTCAATCAGTCAATTTCAACTTCTCATGGGACAAAAAAAGATCTTGCAAAGTTGGAATTGATTGATTGAACTTTTTAGTCCCACCCAGTCTGCCGTTACGACCACAGTTATGCCCACCCAATGGGCCATGCCCACCCAATGGGCCACACCCGCCCGGCACTCAACTATGCATAAATAGGTTTTGGGTTGCAGTTTGGGCACCCAGTCTCTAAAAGGTTCGCCATCACTGTTATAGGAGAAGAAGAACTGCAAGAAATGGGAACATGAAAAGTATGATTGCAGCTAAGATTAATAACTTCTGTAGAAAGTGGCAAACCACACAGAACTGAATCAGTGAGAATTAATATTAGACTTGGTGCAGAGTCATTTGGCTTCATGATGATGGCATTTAAACATTCTGATCATCTTACAATTTTTATTTCATTGTTAAAGGCTCTTTCATGCATGGGGTTATATTGGCTTGCTTTAAATTCACTTCAAAAGTAATTTTAGAATGCGTAAAGTGTTAAATATGTCCATTCAAGCTCTTTTCAAAATTCTGTCCAGAAATAACAGCAATGACAACAATAGAGGCTATACATGTTTTTAGGGCAAATAAGAAAACACCCTCCAGGCTTCAGGAAATGCTTTAAACCAAACAGCAGTTTAATTCCTCTCTTGTAAGTTTCCTTGTTTGGAACAAGTATTGAATTTAGAAGCAGTTCATTCAAGCAAGCCTGCGAAATCAAAGCCAAGGCTTCATAATAAGCGGCTTTTAACAAAGGCTGTAAAACTGTGCAGTAACCAAACCATCAAACAAGACAGAATTTTGGTTCAGAATCCCTTTTTCTTCTTTTGTAAAGAAGGAGAAATGGATAATTTTTCCATTTTTTTTCTACACACACAGTGGGATCTCTAAATACCCTTACTGAATCTTGAAAACCAGTAGGGAGAGGAGGAACAAAACTATAACCCAAAGCATTTTCACATCTTACTGAACCAGTTATAGCGTTGCCTTTGTGTTTTGTCCAAATTCAAGAACGAGGCTGCTGATTGATGCACACTTCCATTATCAGTCTCGACATAGTTTTGACAGTCCTAATCCTCAAACTCTTTGATGTAGTTTTGACAATATTTAGTATCATAAATCTGTTTTTATGTAAATAAAATTGATAATTTCTTGTCAGTTTCATTTCAAGGTTTAAATCATAGAGATAAGTGGTACCTTATCCCTCTGGTTCTGTTGAGAGAGATCTGTTCAATTTTAACATAGATGGCCTATTTTACCCCTCTTTCAAACCACTGGTTCTATCTGTCCAGAATGTGGACTTGGCTGTCTTCAAAAGAGTGACCATTTTTTCAAATGCAGATGGACTGTGAATCCTGATGGAATTTGTTCTCCTAGGTTCTGCCATTGGTTTGTGAAGTCATTGTTTTGTTTCTCCAATGTACAGATTTGCACATGTCTCCCTGTACTGTACTGCCTATATCACGTTGCACAGTTTGTGTCTGAGTATTTTATCCTTGGGTGGACGAGCTTTTTCCTTAATGTATTCTTGGATTTAAAGTTGTGAGAGTGGGAGACCTGGCCAATGTGGCAACTATTGGAAATGCTAGGTGTTGTAGTTCAAAACTATCTGGAAGATCGTAGCCAGCCTACCTCTTTTACAATATAGTGCAGTCTCCTTAAGAACCATACAATTGTAATATAAAAGCAACTGATTCAGTACCAGTAAAGATCAGGCTCAATCCTTATTAAATCAATCGTAGCTAATCTTCCAATATAAAAGCAAACCCACCAGCTTTCTAGGGGGGCTTTGGAGAAGATTTCAGGGCCTCCCCAAATGATTTTGCTGAATGACTTTGTGTCTGTCTCTCAACCTAACCACATCATGGTTGCAAAGATGAAATTGCCGAACCCATTTCTCTTACTATTCTGGAGTGACCAAAATGAGAGCAGGCTCTTTCCTTTTCTTTCTGGATTGTTGGGCCGAAGAGAGAGGTAGGGGAAGCAGCAGCAGCAGAGACCAAATGGATCATTTAGGGAAATCCTCTCCAAAGCACCCCTAGAAAGCTAATGGCCCTTTTAAACTGGAAGACTAGCTACAACTGAGACAATGGCACAAAGCAAGTTGCTTCCTCTTTAAAAAAATTATACCATTACTTGTCTTGCCATAACTCTAGCGAAAATAATCTCCCCTGAAACTGTATTAGCCCCAGGGAAGAAAACTCTCTGGCATTTTGGTATCTGGCATTATTGTAAAGCTCTTCCATTTGTGCAGCCTATTCTATCCAGCACGACTAATGAGCTCTCCATAAGACGCTCTTTTAAATATCGCAAGATGTTCATAAACCTCTACCTATTTTGCCATTCAGCCATAAATGGCTGGGGTTTGCTGTTAATGTTGTGTGACTTCTGTAGTTTGCCTGACACAAT